CACATCTGTTTGATTCAAATCAATTACAACATTCAGACTTCCTATTATGTTCTCATTCGTGTATCAGTTATTATCATGTTATCATCCATATGTACTATTTTTTCACTTTTTCTGATTTCTTCCTTTGTTGTTCCTATATGTTGAATTGTAGAGGTATTTGAGGGTTAAGTGGTAGAGCAATTCAGTGGACGGAGTCATCTAGAAACTGAGTTGAACTTCGCCCTTTGCTTCTGAAAATTATTATCCACCCATACTTTATATATTATTTTCTATTCAGAAGTAATAAAGACGTTTATTATTATTATTATTATATTTCCTATAGGTGGTTTGCTGTTTATCTCAACTGAACTGTCTATTTCGGACTAATCGACTAGTTCACTAATACCAAATGGAATAATATACACCATGTTAGTTTAACTGTGAACTCGAAAAAATTTGCAAGAATGTCACTATACCCTTTCCAAAGAGGATGAAAAGTTAATGGTTATTAGTTATCCAGGCAGATAACAAACACCACAGAAAAAAATAACAGTAGACCATTCTAGTGATTCATACCGAGCTCTATCGGTCTATCTCTCGTATAATAATGCTCTATTAAAATTTCCAGCGCGAAATTTATTGGCCAGCGTCGTCTCATATTCGAGATTTATGTGCGATCCCCCTATAAAATTCTCAAACAAAGATAATTAACGTGATAAATCAGCCGAAAAGCAATTTGAATAAAAACCAACAAAGAAATATCTACATGTACCTATTCACTGATTTTAACGACCCGTGTAAATCCTAATAACAGAGCTAGTGGCGACAATCTGAAGTTCATCGGTGAAATATGGTTTTTATCCAAGCGGCATAGAAAGTAGCTTTCTAGCTGACACTTAACAGGCAGAGAAGGTGTACTTTCTCTGCCTAGGCAGGAGAAGTTTGTTACTATTCAACGTTCCAAGGAATTTGAATTGAATTGATAATCAAAATCGACACTGACATTGGGTGAACACCAAATGATGGAGTTTTCAATAAAAAAGTACACGAATTCGGTTTCGTAAAACTTGGGGAAAATATTATATGTTTCACACGGTAGCACAATTGTTGATTGACTGCTCTCCACAACAAATATGAAATATACAAGAAGAAAATAGGAAAATTATTACCGGTCGCTGATTTCTGGTCCCGTTTCCACTTTTGTGCGATTTTTCATTATCTTCAAATGGTCGAATTAGAACACGTTATTCCTTCAATCTACAACATAGTTGGTAATGAATCCCGCATTTCAAATAAAATGGGAATTGAAATCATTGAAAAACTGAAATATGTATAGTTTTCTTCATTGAATAATGAGACCAACGAGATGAAGATTTTTATATCGCAGATCCCTCCTCTGAATATGTTCGGAAAACAGGTTTTCGGCAACAGAAAACAATAATAGTGTATCATGAAACAATTGTTATAAACGTCCTTCTAGTACCGATTATTTCAATAACGAGCGCAGCAGAGCGGAGCGAGTCTTTGATAAATGAGTGTCTGGGAGAGTTCATATACAATACTTTTTCGACGAACTCATTATTCCTCTGTTTCTCTTAATATTATTTTTGCGGTCTTCAAGTAGTATTCATGCATAGAAAGAAATATCGTATAATGTTCGTGTTGAAAGTTTTTTCATTTTGTTCACAGGACTTATACAGTTATAATTGCACTTTCAACACTAACATAATGAATACCTTCTTTCCATATTGATTATGTAGTCTTGTAAAGTTTGTTCACAAATACCACTCGACATCAAATTGTTCTGGAATTCTAAAAAATGCTCGAGTATGATTCGGCCTTCAGTATGGTACCTATATTACCAATGTAAGCTACCCTCATTTCCAAAATTACTGTTCATAAGGTATCTTAGATTGTTCATCTGTGGGTACAACTTACCTTGGTGTATACACGGTCATAAAACTCAACTTTCACCTATCGATTACTTTATACTACATCGTTCATTATCTATTATGTCTGGATGAACTGGTATATCTACATCCCTATGATAAAGGAAGAGATCTTGGAAAAAAACTCAAATGATAGTGAGGTTAGTTATATTTTATATTCCAGAAAAATAATTTACAATACGTGGAAGTACGTTTTGGCCTTATCGAAATGTCTTAGATATACAGGGTGTTTCGAAATTGAGTATCGAGATTTCCAGGACTCATTTTTCAGGTGGAAATGGGACTGTGTTTTCCTATAAATATGTTTCCGCAAATGCTTTGTTACCGATCTACAGAGAATTGTGAATCCATAATTTTTTAATTTTCCATCAGCACCATGTATAAGGTTCGTTGAAATTCTCATTTTTTACCTAATGTTTGAAAGTGTGAGATGGGAATCACAAAATGAATCAGTAGCGATTCTCGTTCTCATTGTTATAATGCGGGTTCTTCTCATCAAGTACTTACAAATTTCAATTTAATTCAAAAAATTGACAAAATGATTTCTTTCTTGGTAACGGTCACAAATGCGTAAAAATTAATTAAGACGAGAAAGTATTCAAACAATATGAAGAACCCATTTCGTGTCTCAAAATATACCAGTGGCGACCCACAAGAAAGTTTTTGCAGCAAAAAAAGGTCATGACCCCTCAAAAAATATCTTCCTGTATATTTTCAATATCACTTGACACACTGTTAGATGTGAACCTTGAAACCTGACCTATTCTCCGAATTTGATCTGAATATCTCGAAAACTGAAAGAGTTATAGAGAATAAAAGAAGGAAATCTTGAAATTTCAAACCTATGAAAATTGTATTTCGATCTTAAAAATAGGATCCTGGAATCTTGGTACTGAGTTCTGGGACACCCTGTATTATTAATTGATAAGAATTTTCCTAGCCTATCACAGCTATATATACAAAATTTACAGATTTCCTATGCCTATTCTGAAGATATACGTGAGATTTGAATTCGAATCACATAGTATAACATCACACTGTGGATTCAACTGACGATCGATATTATTGATTTTGAGTAGGTTCATTTTTTTTTTTCACCACTAGCCAACGAACCTAAGATTATTTACTCCTTCTTGAGGCGTGAAGTGTGGTTTCACTACCAAGGTAGTTTTCGTCATTTTATGAACCACTATTCAATAAGGACATAGCCACGTCTGGCTTGGATTTTGGCTAGAATACCACTCGAATCCAGTAGGTATTCATCAATATGTTGTCATGGTCATTACTACTACACCTTTTCCAGATGTATTTCAGAAAGCGTGAATTGTAATTCAGATTTCTCAAATGGAATTCAGAAAACGTCAGTTGTAATTCAGATTAGTCAATTGAAATTCAGAAAATATCAATTGTAATTTAGATTAGTCAACTGAAATTCAAAAAATATCAATTGTAATTCAGATTTTTCAATTGAAATTTAGAATGCGTCAATTGAAATTCAGATATCATCATTCGTAATTCAGAATGCGTCAATTGTAATTCAGACTACGTTATTTGTAATTCAGACAAGTTACTTGAAATTCAGAAAAAACCAATTGAAATTCAGATTAGTCAAGTGAAATTCAGAAAAATTCAATTGTGATTCAGATTCGTCAAATGAAATTCAGAAAGCATAAATAGAAATTCAGATATCGTCAATTGTTATTCAGATTAGTCAATTGGAATTCAGACAGCAGTTGTTTTTCACCTCGAAATCTAATCAGTAATTATATTATGTGGGATACAACAAAACAAGTTTGTTTTTATCAAACTCATTCCTAATACAATAACTATAAGCGAGGAATGTATGAAAACGAATAATATTTGGATTGAATTGAGACATAGCAGGTAAAAATAAAAGTATCCATCATTCACAGCGACCTACGGGCATATTTTCCAAAGTAAAAGCAGCAGCATGGTGAATCGTCGAATCGTGTTATGCTGTGCTGCTAGAGCACAGTCCTCCTCCTCTGCTTTGCCTGGTCAATAATTCTTTCGAGGAACAAAAGTTTTTGTTCAAAGACACCAGGGCCGGCAACATGGGGAGAACGAAGATTCACTCACACGTATGTCTCAATTTTAGACCAGATGGTTTCAATAGGATTCAGCATTGGAGAATATGGAGCCAATCTCAAGAGGTGTGCAGTCGTTTCATTCACAACGTTCTCCAGTCGGGAATGACAAGGATCATTGTCACACACTATACCAAGTCCGCAAGCTGGTTTCCTAGTTCTTGTCATTGTTGTAGAAGAGATGCTACCTAAGCATTTGCAGTTTCAGTCTTGAAAGATTCGTTCCTTTTCTCCATAGTTACTACTCCAGCTGCCGAAATTGCCCCAATGAGATGTACATTGACTAATCTGAATTAAAATTGAAATTCTCTAAAATTCAATTGATTAATCTGAATTACGAATGATGCTTTCTGAATTTCAATCAACTATTCTGAATTACAAATGACATAGTTTGAATTACAATTGACCCATTCTGAATTACAAATGAAACATTCTGAATCATAAATGACGCTTTCTGAATTTCAATTGACGCTCTCTGAATTCTAACTGACGCTTTCTGAATTTCAGTTGATTAATCTGAATTACAAATGACGCATTCTGAATATCAATTGACAATTCTGAATTACATTTGATATTTTCTGAATTTCAATTAACTAATCTGAATTACAAATGATATTGTCTGAATTGCATTTGACGCTTACTGAATCACTATTGGAAAAGGTGTAGACTTCAACTTGAATTGGAAAGAAGTGCTTTCACAGTGACAATACCTCCATATTTCAGTTTCGCAGAATTATAATAATTGGAATTCATTGCTAGTGGTGAAAAAAAAACTGATATACACCTTCGTAGTAGAGAATATTATGACCCCTGGACCTTATATCTCAGTCCTTGGGTAATACTGATATTCATCACTACCTTGGTGTATAAATAACTATTATTTCAGAAAAAGAACATGAACTGAGAAGTCTCGCACTCATATAAAACATGTTATTCGGAAAATCTCACCAGATTCTAACTACACTCACGTCCAAGGAAGTAGAGGTAATAGTCCAGATAATAAAACACCACTCACTATATGAATTTTCGTCGGTGAACACGACGAATTGGCATGTTGCATGGCTGCAGGCTTCTCCTCTAGAACAAGAGACAATAATATAATAACATCTCCACGACAATTAAAAACGGAAATCACATCAATTGGTGAATGTTTTGGATATATTTATGTCCATTGTCTGCCAAATATCAATAATGGACATATACATACATTAAACTTTCGTGGATACGATTTTCAGTGTTATTCAGTACCGACAAATGAGGTGTCTTGGACGGTGAGTGTCACTTTGGACAATCGATATTTTCTCCTTTCAATCTACAATACCTCTGAAGTGGAGATCACTATCGACTCAACTTTGTTGCGTGTTCATTCTTGATAGAATAGGTCCTGCCAAGGTGAAAATCACGGGCCAATTTTGGGTGAACTAGACTTCCCCTGTCGAAAAAATTCCCGGAATTCCTCTGGGACTCCAAGGAATTCCTAGGACTATCCAAAGAATTCCCGGACTTTCTGAGAATTCCCGGAATTCCCGAAGAATTCTCGGAATTCCCAAAGAATTCTCGGACTTCCCAAAGAATTTCAAGACTTCCCAAAGAACTCCCAGACTTCTCAAATGATTCCTGGACTCCCCAAAAAATTCCGGAACCTCGTCTTGAGAACACTGGACTCTACACGTGATTTATTTCTCGGGTCCTGCGATCCGTAGTGATTTTAGTAAGGAAAGGTGAAATTGTTCATTTTACGTCTGTATTTATATGAGCGTAGATTCATCACATTGTTTGAGAAGTGAAAAAATAACTGCTGTAAGTGTTTTCGTGCAAAATCCAGAAAATATCAGCAATTATATTTCGTGAGGCTCATGTCCGAAGAATAGTTTGAGCATGTATTCGGTCTTCTATATCACATATCCATTTTTAAACAGGGTGGATATCTAAGATAACAGCCTCTATTCTGGTGATTTTGGACAAAGGTCGGAGCTACAGTACAGTTCCTGGTGGTCGTTTCTCCAGGAACTATACATCAGCAAAGAAAAATAATGAGCAGCCACAGATGATGTGAAGAAAAGTGGAAAAGGTGTATCATTACTATCAAGTGAGCTTCTTGAGAAAAAAATGCAATGCAAAGAGCAGATCTGATTTCCTTTTCCATTCCATTTCTTTTTGAAACATTCGTTCTCTTCAATTTTGTTGTGTCCGAATTAGTTTAAATGGGAGCAGATATCACTTCTTCATTCTTTACATTGCGAGCGTCCGAAGTCATCCCTCATCAATACTAAAAAATTTGGACACGCTTCTTTCAAGAATATGGTGAATTTTATGTTTTTTACTTCTTTAAAAATTGGGAATTGTGTCCGAAGTCGATAGGGAAGTGATTAAATATCGGTTTCACACGGTTTTCAACAAATGTCCGACGTCACCTTGTCTAGTGACTTCGGACACATTTCAAATAAAAAAATTTGAGATTCTCCGAAACAAAAACATAAGTTTCATTTTATAATTCAATACAGCGATACAAGTACTTCGTTGAGTGAGAATTTGATGATGAAAAAACGATTTTTGATAAAGTTATAGCGAAAAAACTGTGAAAATTGTCCGAAGTAAACTCATTTGACGATACTAACTATTCCACTCACTATACTATGAGAAATGATGGATTTCCTATAAAGAATTCGATACTGAGTATTTCAGTTTCGAATTTGAAATCTGTCTAACTCTTAATTCTAATTCGAAATATCTCATCAGTGGTTTCATATAGCAGAGAATCTTGTACATGATTTCAACAGTTTTATTCACGTTAAAAAGGCCCAAGAACGACATTATTTTACGATCTGTTGAAGTCGAAACATGAATTATTCATCATAATGTGGAATAGTCGTTTTCTTCATTCTATTTCGTTACTCGTTTAACAAGGATGGAACGTGGAATATACGTCTCGAAACATCGTTATTCGAACTAACGTTTAATCGGAACATTTTATCGAATGCTTGGACTTGACGGCTCCTGATGAACGTTATTTTGTAACTCCTGTTGAAAAGGAACATAAGATACTTATAAGTTCTTGAAGACATTCGTAATTTCACATCCCATGCTACTGATATCAAACTTCTCACAGAGTTGGCACAAAAAAGTCAGTCACCTCTCCAAGGAGAAACTCCAACAATTTCAATTTTGATACAAAAAAAAAGCATCTTGAGAAAAATGTTCATCTGGGGGTTCAAGGAACCAAAATTCAAAAATGTTTTTTGAAATTATTTGGGGCCTGAAACACTTATGAACCATATGTTATCAATTTAATAGTTTCTTTTCTCCTCCTACCTAGCAAGGTATGTCACCCATTTTCCAATAGTGATGGAACTTCTTTCATTTATAAGTTGTTTGTATTTTAGCCTGATGATGACTCCTAGGAGTCGAAACATGTGGCACGTATTACTTTATTAAAATTTACTTGGAGTGAGACTTTGAGTTTGTTCTCTTAGTTATCTCATCACCTCCAATTTGAGCATGGACTACTACCAGAGATATAAACATTTGTTTCCTGAAATGGAAGAGGGAGAAGCGCTTCTTGGCCTGATGATGCTTTTGACGGCATGACATTAAATTTTTAGGTTACTTTCATTACCGGGCGGACCAATCCGAGATAATTTGCGTACAACGTTGCGCGCAATAGGAAAATCTGGTTCAGTTAATGTAAGAAGTTAAAAGTTGGCCAACATTCTACATGTTACATGATGAATGATAATTGTTGAATGTCTGCATAAACACAGTCATTGGAGAATATGGAATTCAACTTATGATTGTTAATTGTAAAATGATAACTGTTACATGATACATGTTAAATGACGCTGCATAAATCCACACTAAGATACCTATACGTTTTTGAAAAACATTGGATGCCACAAATATCGAACTTCTCATCGAGTTGGCACAAAAAGGACAGTCACTTCTTCGATAATCAACTCCAACAGCTAGGGGGGCATGAATGCTGGAAATGTCAGGTTTGTAACAGGAATAATGATAATCATGTGAAGAATCATCTCAAAATAATTATGAATATGAAATTATTGGGAATAAAAATATAGCAATGAATAATCTGATAAAGACTGAATTTCTGATGATAATTCGACGATTAACTTTTCAACTAAGCGTAGTGTTGGCTAACAGTAACATTTTTACCCGAGTGATCCGCATTTCGACTGTACACCATTAGTTATGAAAACAGAGTAGATATCGATTGAGTTATTCCCAAATCAAGAGTGAATTATTATGCAGGACGACGTACAATTTGTTGGCCAGTTTATTTGGGTAAGTGAAAGGTTAAATGAACCCTGAATAGTTGCTCGAGAGCTTATCTCTCGAACCCTAGCCATTATTTACCATATACCGAGAAATAAGTGGGTTTCTCCACACATCAGCCTGCACATCATTTACAATGAGCTGGAAACTAGAACGATCCAATGTCTAGGCACTCAATTCCGTTGCTAGAGGGAAATATTTATATTCAGACTGCGTCAAGTTCCCATGAATTTTGGAGAGAGATAATTCTAGATAAGTCGCAGAGTGGAGTCTTGGGTGCAAACATCATAATTATCATTTCCTTATATATGAAAATATTTCTTTATGGTGATGAGGCATGAATAATGATGTAGCAGTAGCAACTTCTTAGCGAGTGTAACATGAAGCATGAGTCGGATAATTGAATTCTTGTTTATCTGGTGAATATTTCCAAAGAGAGGAAGGGTTATCATCATTGAGGTCAATATGACTTACGATATCATCCATAAGCGTTCGATCATCACTGAGATCGTTGCCTTCCATACCAAGATACTGAGGACGTGGGCAATAACACTTTTCAGTTATAACTTTTGAGTATCATTCCATTATAGGTCTCAATGCTCCTTCCTGCATCATCAATTTTCTCAGTTAGCCTGAGGATGTGTCTTGGTTCATGCGTGAATATAATATTATGAGTTACTATATCTACATATCATAACAATGTCAAGGAAACTAGAATTTTATGATTTAATATAATTTCAAAGATACTGTTTCCTTTTTCTTGATACGAATTTCAATGAGCAGGGACATGTTCAACTTCACCATATCATCAGACAGAGCTGATTATGTTGACATATCATCATGTTACTGTCACTTCGACCTTTCACGCAACCTCAATACATATGGTGGAACTGTTTACTCCTATCGATGATTATTCCTATTGTGGTGTCTTTGCAAATGCTGGTTTCGAGCCAGTTGATATTCCGTTGATTTTTTCATCGTAAGCTTGTCTACCCCTCGTTGCCTTCCATCGCTCTGTGTCATGGTATTCACAAGTACTTCTTTGTTGCATTCAGACAGAAATATGAAGGCTTGAAGGCAATCTAGAAACTTACAAAACTTGTATTTCGTGCAGAATAATGTATACAAATTTTTCGTGGCAGAGCGCTTTCGACTATGCAGTCATATTGAAAAAAGACATCGATGATTATTCCTATTGTGGTGTCTTTGCAAATGCTGGTTTCGAGCCAGTTGATATTCCGTTGATTTTTTCATCGTAAGCTTGTCTACCCCTCGTTGCCTTCCATCGCTCTGTGTCATGGTATTCACAGGTACTACTTTGTTGCATTCAGACAGAAATATGAAGGCTTGAAGGCAATCTAGAAACTCACAAAACTTGTATTTCGTGCAGAATAATGTATACAAATTTTTCGTGGCAGAGCGCTTTCGACTATGCAGTCATATTGAAAAAAGACATTAGAGAAAACATTTTCTGAAAATTTCTTGAAAAATAACACATTAGAGAAAACATTTTCTGAAAATTTCTTGAAAAATAATTGAATTTTGTTGAAAATTAGTGAAATGTTATCAACTTTATGCTTTCGAAAATAACAGGAGACTTGACAAAAGTTACAATTCAAATTTGAGAATAAGGGAGGTGAAGTTACTATCTCGTCAGGTTGACATGAAAATTATCCATAAAAAGAGATATATATTAGATGGGAACAGATTACAATTCATTTCCCCTGGAGTCTAACCCAATTGGTGAGGCATCAAGGGGCATGTGCACCCTGATCGGGCTATCCTCATCACCCAAGGTAACCATGTCAACAAGATTCCTTTTGTTTCGTTTGATGGGTCGCCGTCGCAAAGGGCATTGGTCTCACTTACCGCTACCTTGACGAGAGTGGGGACCTCAAAATTTCAGGCATAGGTTCCTGTAGTCACGTAGGGCAACCCCTATTCGATGGTGGGCACACAGTCATCGCTCACCTGCAGTAGCATTCAGCACGTGCACGTTGATACTAGCAGGCACCGCGTTCGACGGGCTGCACGTGTAGTTCCCGTTGTGGCCCTTGTCGGCCTCCCGCACCTGCAGCACGCTACTGCTTCTTCCCTCTGTCACCGCCACTCCTGGGTCGTAGTTGATCATGCGCCGGTCGTGGTACCAGAAGACGTACTCCGGCGGCTCGGTGGAGTCTCTCAGGGCGCACACCAGGCGCAGCTGGGACCCGGCGTGGACGTGCAGGTCTGGGGAACCTTGGATTTCGGCTAGAGCCTCTGCAACAAAAAAAAGGACTTCAGAGGTGGATTCGACAACAGGTCCATATGATGGCAACCGCTATGGACTATGGTGAGGTTGAAAGTCATGTCACCTTCCTACAGAATTACTTTTTCCTTGGTGTCAAAGTGCATAGACAGCCTACAGCGGCTGTCAGCGACAATTAAGATATGTGTTCTATGGGTCTCTGGGCACTCATGGTAATTTGACGGATTATGGTCTGATGGCGAGATGGAAAGTGAAGGGCACAGTGATTGGTTCAAAGCCAGTATGAACGGTATTATAATAAAACTATTTCAGGACAGCTGGAGGAAGGCTTCAGGAATGAGGCAGTACAGACTCCACATTGGAAATTTGTCTCGAATACAGACCAATGTCCCTTTGGATTTGAACAGGAAAGAATTGGAACTGGTAGTAAGTCTTCTGACAAAGTATTGCCACTTGATCAACTATCTCAACACGATTGGCATTGTGTAAAATCCTGGATTCAGATGTTGCCTTACCCCACATTTCAACTGGTAGTAGTGGCAGCGAAGAATATGCAAATCAACAAAATGCACTCTCATCAAACTACAGCCAGAGTGTAGAATAATTTTCAGTTCCTTCGAAACTATAGATTCACAGGATTTTCGAATCGAAAAATAAACAGTGTGCTTGAAAAAACAAAGGAATAACCATCCAGAAGATTTGATATGTTTCGTTATTATTGTCACAATTTTACATGATAATATTCCAAGTACAGTGGCTGTAGCTCGGAAGGGTGCATTTCAGGGCATATGTTCATTTGAAAAAGTGGGTCATTTTTATCCCAACATTGATACGTGCTTTGAATACATACTTCGTAAGTGAAGACCACAGGAGTAGGAGGGGAAATGTCACAATATAGTGGAAATTGATTTGACACCTTCATCTGAAAGCCTAACCACTATATTCGAGTACAGAAGTCCATTCCATATAGCAATAACGCAGGATAGTCAGCTAATATGCTAGTTCGAAATCACGTTCACATGGAAGAAACACGGAATGTCCACTTCGAAAATGTGAAGAAAGGAGAACGGCCAAGCTTAGTGCTTGCTTGATTACAGCTTCCATTGTGATTTTGATAGGTTGTTTTCACACTGTCGAAAGGTCGAAGTGAATCCGCAGGCAAACAAAAGGAGAAAAAAAGAGATACGGTCACCTTTTTTCCATCTCTTGGAGCGTACGGAAGGCAAAACCCATGATGCTAGATGTATAGGTACCATATGACAACTCAACGCTCATTAGGTAGTCAGGCAATGATGAAGAAATTTATCAGAGCAGATATTTGCGAGTGAACAATCCTCTTATTTGGCAATTTATTTGGACATTCCCCACTTTTTCCTTGAACCTTTGGACTTATTCTTGGTTTTCGATGATTTTCCCATTCAAATATGATTTTCATCACTATTGGTTCAACTTCATTGCTCATTATACTTCATCAAATGGATCCAGGTGGTTTGAGTTCAGTTTCCTCCAACTTCCGAAAAGTAAGGAGGTTTTGAACTTTGGAATGCGTTTTGCTCGAAACTTACTTTTTGTTATATTCCTCCTCTTTTCCTTCTGGTCTTCAATTTGAATGAGCCATTTTTTATCCACAGATGATGGAAGAACAAAAATATAATATTGATGTTGACTAGTCGATCTCTAAACCCAACAGCTCCTATGAAGTTTTCTTGTTATGGAAGTATTCAATGTTCATCTGAATCGCTCAGTCTTGATGATTGTTGTGAAAAGCAGGGTGTTTTTCTGTACAACAGAGATACTTGTACTCTGTTTTTCTCTTTTGGTCACAAAACCAGTCGCACTAGATGCAGAAGCAATTTCTTCATGATCTCATCCGCAGGATTCCATATTCCTCCGCTTCTGATGTAGCATATGAATCCGTCTCACGAGCGCTTGCATGTCATTCACACTAGTTATTCAAGGCAATTTCAATGGGATTCCACATTCGAGGATTCGGAAATAACCCGCAGCAATTAGTAGCAACAAGGGACGACAAAGGCCGTGACACAGCATCCCTGAAACCGCATGGCTTTAAACACCGCATTCCTTCCTGGCTTGATGAGCAAGTTCACTGGAGTTTTCGCATTCGAAGGAAATTATTTACTTTCATAAATAGTCGGAGTATGTTCAGAGAACTAGCGATTTCTAGTTTGCCAGATATTTCGGATGCACCATAGATAACTAATGGGTGATGTGGGTTAATCGAGGAGGCGGCATATTCATTTCTCTGTGTTTTTGAAATTCAATCTCCTCGTCTCTATACAGGGTTTTTCTGTCAAAATTCCACACGCCAATATCTTGAAAACGAATAGAAATATTCAATTTCTTCATGAAGTAGTCGATAGATGAGGTCAAGTAGATTTTTCTCGAAGTTTAAAAAACTTGAGGCCTACTAACAGATGAGCGTCGCTACACGTCGAATATTTAATGGATTGCATTGACTTTGAATTCACGCGCACTCAATAGTACTTGTTATTCATGAACTTTTTTGTTACTCACTCGATTATAGTGAAAGTTTCATGATTCACAAAAATATTACGCATGATTTTCACAAGAATTTCATGAATATTAGTTACTTCGCAACCATTCAGTTAGCGCAAAATTGTTTTACGAGCAAATAACTTGGGAAGATTTCTGCATCGGGGACTCTTCTAACACTATGCGAAAACTCTTCTTGATTCCAAACAATTCGTCCTGCATTCTCCAAGCATCAATACTAGATTGAACCATTTTTATATAATTATTGTCAGATTTGTTCTTACCGAAGAAATTTGAATATTTGTATATCTCTGACACTCTGATGACAACATCTGTCGCTTGTAAAACAATTGCGGTAACAATGGTTGCCGGAGTTACTATCAAGACATTTTCGCAAAAATCATCGTATTTTTGGTCAATCAAGAGAAATCTATATCCATAATTCGGTATGATTCAGAATTGAGTGAAATAAATAAGTGCGAGAAAATAACAAAGCAGAGTGCGTGGAATTTCAAAGTCAATGCAATCGATTTATATTTTCGACGCGTCTTGACGCTCAGCTCTTAGTAGGCGTTGATATTTTTGTACTTTGAAAAAAATCTACTAGACCTCATCCATTGACTACTGTTTATAGAAATTGAATATTTCTATTCGTTGACAAGATATTGGCGTGCGGAGTTTTAAGTGAAAACCTTGATTATAAAAATATCACTATTATTTCAATACACCTATAGTGAGAAAAACTCAAATGATTCGCTTCAAAAAGTCACTGCGTATGGAATTTCATTCATAGGAACATCAGAGAAAAATTGATTCGAGAGCCGGTGACACTTTTGAAACATGTTTGAAGAAGGAAATACTATATTGAGGTATATAGAATTCATCCTATTTCTGGACGTTTATTGCGATTCATGTCAAGTTCTGGGATTACTATCGTCATGATATTCCCCTGAGAGGGACTGAACATTGATCTCTCTATATGACGTGTTTCAGATTGTTCTCTAACATCCCAACATTAGGGGCCAGGTAGCCGTGCGGACAGAGTGTCTATATTCTCATTCGCTTGCCGGTCGTGGGTTCGATTCCCATCGACTGCATACATTTTTATGATAGCCCGAGATAGTGTTTGAGATCACACGTTGAAAGGTAAGGCCCCTGTCATTCCATGCTCGCACAAGACTCTCGAAGACTTCTGAGGGTTGCTCGTAAAAGGGCAACCGAATGACGGATAGAACGATTTTAGAACAATTGTTTTTTATCCCAATTATTTATACATATTATCTTATTTTCGAACACCCAATATATCGTGATGATAAATGATTATCGAAAAATTTGATGGAAATATTAGAGGAAAATGTTTTGAGAATGATGAAAGGGTATGATGGAAGCTGATAAAGTTCTCTAGAAGCCAAGAGAACTGATATACTCTTTCGAACGGTTTGTACATGTTTGACATATAAAGGAATAGTGAAGGAAAAAAGAGAGTGTACCTACCAAGATGTATGTATAGTATATTAATATTATTGTTCTCATAAGTTTCTTTTTCTGTGATTTCTGGATTCTCCATTACTATATAATGAAAGTACATCACATATATTCCAAACACCATTTGTTTCTGATCTTCAGAGTATACGTATATATTTCTAGTAGCTAATGACGAGTGAATAAGTCAATAATCACTAGTGAATAAGTCACTAATTACTAACGGCTAAAGCACTGATGTGCAATAATCAGAAGTGTCCATTTACAGGAACACACCGATTTTCTGTTGGTATTCTGAATGATTTTCAATTATCGTTTCCAATTCCGTTGAGATGTGATTCAATCAAATATATGGAGCATTATTTTCTGTTTCTAGAAAAATATTTAGTCTAGATACTGAAACCTTGTCATATGTTATGATGTTTATTCAATGCGTCTCTACATTTCTATCCAGTTACTCAGAATCCACGGGCATATGACAAATAATATCAAATCTCCAGAGGGGCTATCAAACAAGTCTTCAACTAAACGAGAACTGGGACCGAGTTTATAACCACGAGTACTATGGAGATATATCTCGAGCACATAGTCAATAGGCATGCACCTACTGTTTCACAATTCTACTGACAGACAGATTTCCAGTTCATCATTCAATTATTGATGAAATAAACCTCTGGTGCGTTCACTCTTCATTTGTTTCTTCAGATTGGTTCTTGATATATACAATTGAATTTCAGACGATTACGTGGGGTTCACATATTGAATGTTAGATGGCGTGATTACTAGCGCCGCTCCAAGGTTGGTAGAACTGATGATACTTTTATAGAGGAAGGTTGCCTCGATCGCACCCCACGAGTAATTTGTGACGTGATAGGCTCTTCCTCTTGTACGGAAAATGTAGCACTTTCGTAAGATATGTACGCCGGTGCGGTTGTATTGAAGTGACAGTTGTCAGTATTTTTGAATTTAAAATTGTGAAAATGATAATTTGTTTAGCCGCTCCTTGTTCAAATTC